TCCTGCATTCCTCATGGTGCAAATGGGCCTGATAAGAAGATCCCAGAGATGTAACATGGTTTAAATAAATTGGAGTCAAGCTATTTGCAAGCAGAACAATTTAAAGGCTGGTTTGTATCTTCTACTTTGAAATACATATAAACTTCTGCAAGAAATGCCTTTAGGGAACTTTGCTTCAGGAAAATCTCCATTCAGTGGAAAACTGGTGATATTTTGTTGAGTATAACAATTTCTTACTTTTTTTTTTAAATCTATCATCAAATCAGTTCTAATTACTGCTCTTACATTGCATACTGGAAGTCTAACTCAAAATCTAGTCAATGTGAGTGTTTCTCAAGATCTCAAAGAACTTTAAAACATAGCAAGTGAGCCAACTGCAGAAACACAATTCTGTGGGTAACAGCATTTCAAAGAAGAACTTTTAAAGAGGTGCAAAAATGCTCCTTTTCCCTTACTAATTGTTTTAGAGTAAGAAACTAGCAAGATGTGTTAGCCCTGTAAACATATTTTTAACAAGTATTTTAAACACAAAGTATCCTTTAAATGTGAATGTTAATTAAAGGGAGAGAAAAGCAAATTTATGGGGAACCTTAGTAACCTACTAATTTTTACTGAACATTTTCTGCATCCCACTACTCAGGCTGAGACTTTTCAAGGGAAACAAGGCTATGTGTACAGTTTCCATTTGCAAGAATGATACTGTGAGGGTTGAACTTCAAATTTTTTTTGCAGTCCATTGGAATGTCTATCCTTAGATGAAAAACACTCAGAGATCCTTAATAAATATTTCATCTTAGGCTTTACATACAAGGTGATGTTCTCATACATTAAAAAAAAGCAAAAAAACAAAAACAAAAACAAAAAAACCCCCACAACAATAGCAAGAAAACTAAATAAAAACAAATGGAACAAACAGCAACAAAAACAATACCACCCCACATGGACATACATCATTTTTTACCATTGGCAATGGAACAGAAGAGAAGCAACGATCAAAGTGTGCACAGCACTAGAACATGGCTATGCTGGATAGTACTTGATGACCTGATTAATCACTGTCATAACATCTGGACAGAACAAAAGAATTACAGCACATGGTGAAATTAATGAGAGAATGGAACAACTTTCCCATGGTTGACAACGCAGCCACACTCCTACCATAGCTACAAATATGCTTCACTGTGAAAACATTTTGCTGCAAATCTTGGCTTTGAAAAGGAAGGGACAGAAAAGTTAGTTTTCAGCGTAACTATTCTTCATGCACTCTGGGCTCCAATTCATCTAACTTTGCTATCCGTAGTATAGCTTACCTCTGAGTTAGTCACTCTAGGCTGCCTTTAGAGTCAGTGAAGAACGATGGATACTTGTAAGGCATCATTCATCCAGTCTGTTTTAGCCAACAACTTCAGTGACAGACAAATTACTCCTAGGAGTGCCAATTTTTCTCCATTGACAGTAAAGGCAGCCTGGAGTGATTAGCTCAGATACAGATGTCCATGTATATATCCCACACTCTATAGAGTCCTAATCCAGATCACTAAGGCCTTCTACTACACAGAAAATTGGTTAAAATGAATGACAACTGTGTCCATCTAAATTCATTTCATGAACTAGTTCTGTGTTTGTATTAAGGTAAGCAAGTCTTTTTGAGTTACAAAGTAAACTTCTTAAAGTATTTTTATACACTTATTTACAGTCTAAATAATGTGTTTGTGTATGTAAGTGATGTGTGTATAAATGAACTTCTTCTTTCTCAGTAACAACTGAAAACACATACAAAAAATAATTTCCTACGTGGGCTAATATTATATGTCCATTTTCCATCAAATTTAAAATATATTAATAATGATTTAATTTCTTTACAGTTAAAAGATCTATGTTAAGGGGAAAAAAGCTGTTATTTATATAGCTTCCTGGAACAAAAACGAAAAACAAACAAACAAATAATAAAAAAAAAAACCACACCTTTTTAATGCTACTGCTGAGAAATATATTTTGATGCTAAGATTTCTGTTGCCACTCTGAAAAAATGAGTATCCTTTATTAATGAGACCAATATACAGTATTTCATAACACAGAGACTAATTTTAAGGACCACTTTTTTGAAAGAAGCTTTTTCAAGAAAAGCTCTAAAGTGGGCTTTCTTGTTCCGTTTCACTAAGGGTTCATTTAAACACAGGAGTTCAATCAGAAACAGAAATTTTCTCCAAAGTAATCTTGTTCAGCATTTGTATGCTGACTAACTCTGAAAATATATTTTAGACTTTGGGAAGTGTGAAAGTCTTATTTCAGCTAAATCTGCTTGTGACGTGTGAGGACTTCATGTCAATTTACGGTTAGATGTAAAACTGCCTAGTCATCCCACAAGAAAAAACAGTGGCTGTGATTGGACAGGGCCCAGACTGTTTGAGAGGTGATTTGATTAGAAGAGACATCTCTCTTGAGCTGTAATTGAGGATTATAAGTTTTACGGCCAAAGCAATAATCAAACATATGTTCAGAAACAACACTAACCCCTCAGTGTCTGTCACTGCGAGCTCTGTACAGGGCTTTTATTTCCTTAGATGGGTCCTAGTGGGAACTGTGTGCATTATAGTGTCACAGGATGAAGTCCAGAGAGGCTCTAAGTACCAGGCTTGACTGACTCCAGCTTCCAGTAAACTCTCATGAGATCACACAAACTGGGAATCTGAGCATCCCTTTCCTCATCTGACAAGAATTAAAATGGAAATGTATGCTTGGCATTATCCATTCAATACCTTTCAGAGGAAATAATCTACATGTTCTTGATTTACCTGTAAGCATACTTCAGTCAAGGGAAACCAGCAAGAATGTTATTTAGTTCTCAATTTGAACTAAAATGTACTCTGGATATGTTTTCCTTTGGGGCACTTGGTGTGAACCATTTACTACAACAGTATGATTACACTGAGGAAATCCTCTACTACTGGGATCCAAACTGTGGCACTGGTCTTAAAATTTCCTATTCCACTTTGTGGTGGGATGTTAAAATTGTGAATTCTCCTCTTGGATTTTTCCTAGGCTAACAGCAAGCATTTGTGATCCTCATTAAGTTTGGGCTATTAGATGAAAGTGTTCCGCAGAGATTTTTGTTTACCTGTGATTGCTGGAGATAAAATTTGACAGTCATATTGGCCTTTCCACAGCCTGGTCTGTTAATTTTTTCCAGTTGTTCAAACCTGGAGTAGTGGGTAACTTGTTTTATCAGGAATGCTAAAGAATGAGATTAATGACATTTTTGCACCTCAATTCATTGCTGGCAACAGAAGAATCTGATCTATTTTTCTTAAGTCTGACCAAATTCCACTGCTCTGTGTCCTTTTGTTCTTTGCCTTTACCCCTTTCGTCTAAATTGAGACATAAATTACAGGTGCTGACATAAAGAACGTTAACAACATAATACTTGGTAAACATTTCTCAAAGCATCACCACCCATGACCATTCTGCCATCTGAAAGTCCACTGTATTGAGGCTGGGCTGAAGCCTTCATGGTCCTTAAGCCTATTCTCCCAAAACGAAGACTGGTTGTCTCTACCAGTCTCATTTGGGACAAAATTTCTTCCTGACCTGAAAGACTTTCTGTAATATAACCCTTCATGCTCACAAGCCAAATTACTTCATTAATCATCCGTCTCCCTTTAGTGTTGTGGGTGAGCACTTCTTCCTCACAAACTGTATAACGTATGATTGGGTACATGACAAAGCTTGTCATTTGTCAGTTAATTTTTTTTTTTTTTTTTTCTGTTTAATTGAACGCTGTTTGAGCAGGGTGCTGAGCCTGAAATAAAAGACCATGCTAGTATTTTATAACAGACATATGTCATGTTCTTGACAGGCAGATGTTAATTTATACCCCTTTTTTGCATGTGATATATCAACATTTTTCATGAATGTCATAATCAATATCCAGTATTTCATTTTTTATCACAGCCTTTTTGGGCAAGCAACTGGCTGATATTCTTCCATAGGAGTCATCAAGACATGGAATGCATACAGTACCCTTCTTCTGAAGCAAGTCAATATTGCATAATGTTTTATTTCCAGCAAATAAAAAAAAAAAATTGGTATAGAAAAGATGGGAAATAGAGAGGTGCAGTAGTAAAATCTCAGAAATATCCAGTGACTTTCACAAGTGGTTAGCTAAAACTGAATATTATCTATATGTTGTATTCTTGTGAAAGTATAAATGAAAAAAATGACAAAAATTGTCAAGGGATATCACCACATTCTTTTTTTGTTCTCTCTTTTCTTTCTTTTTATTTTTTAAGATCTTTGCATCTACAATAGGCATTCCTGTTTATTGCTCTAATACAACAAATGAATTGTTTCTTGCAGCTCTTTTCTGTCTCTTTTTCATAGCATCTGTATGCTATATTCATATGTGGTTTTTTTTTTCACTCAGAATAAATAACCATTTTTTCAGGTGTTCATAAATGCTAATGACCTTTAATTTCTTTTCTGCTCTCTTGCCACGTGTACCTAGATGCACTGAAGTTCTGTTAATTTCATATATTTACTTCTGCCTAGATCCTGTATGGGAACTGTTGAGTCACAGCCAGAACCACTGGTTGATCACCTGAGGCAAGTCCTTGGGAACACAGGTGAAGGCAATTCAGCTGTGTGATCAGAAGTGGCCGAGCCTGGCTCCATCTCTTCTAGACCCTATTTAAGGGCTGACTGCCATAGGGGTGGGATCTCTTTCTGGTGATTTCTACTTTTGGAGTTTTCTGCTGTGAGCCTAGGACATGGGTGAGCATTTCATTTTTGATTGTCTCTTTCCACCATCTTTCTAACTATAAACCTGTAAAATATTATCCTAACCATGCTAATTGTTAATTGTACAGACCCACGTTTTCACCTATACATTTTTACTAGATTTTATTTATATTTCTGGTTATAAATATTTCTTTCCAAAGAACTCCAGTCAGTTCAGTGTTTATTGCTAACTATTATTTTTATTTTTATATTCTTTAGCAAGAAAAATAGATGATCATCTTGAGGTGGGATGGAAGAGGACAGAATATGGTAAATGGAGTACTAAAAACAGGCTAACACTGTGTCTGTACATGTTCTGAAACAATGGTAAGGCTGTAATGAGCATTCATCAATGAAAGACTGCAGGAAGCGAGCTGGGATAATACAGGTAAATGCAGGGAAACTCAAGTGAACTTTGCATGGGATGTCCTTCCTGAAGTGAATCATCATTTGAGACCTTTAAATGCTAATTATTTTTTTAACTTAAAATAATGATCAATGAATATATTCAACTAGATTATTTTCTTTCTTTAAGAAGTGTGTTTTAGGAGTACCTCTAAGGTAATTCACTTAATCTGATATGAAATGTTAGCTAGTAAAAAGCTACCCCCAATTTACAATGCATTGTGAGTTCCTTTACTCCTTATCACTATGTGAAGCAGAAAGAGTTCAGTCTGAAAATCTTGAGATGAAAATTAGTGTAGATATAACAGAAAACTCTATTTTCTTGTGGGATTCACAAACATAAAAATGTTATCAGTGTTATCTTCATGTAGAGGTCTTGCGTGAATTAGGCATAGATAATTACAAGTATGAAAATAGTCATAAAATCTCTTTCCTTATTTTTAGCTTATAGATTCAGAGGGAGAAATGAAAAGACGTACAGATAAAGAGGATGCCCATGTAGAAACTTCAGTGACCTACACTTCTAAAAGGAAGTAAAATCAGATACACTTAAATATAATGTCGTACTCTTTCTGCATGAGATGTTTCGATAAACTAAAGTAGCTAAGAAGAACTTTGAAGTTGGCATGTTCTAAGCAAAAATTTCTGTATAAAATACTGATGTGATAAAATCAAATTATTTCTTTATAAAATATAAATCTCAAGTTTTTCTACAAGCCATAAACAAGACATTTCATTTTCACTTCATTGAAATACTTTGTTTCAACTCTGTATTATATTAGACATTTTTTTTTTTAAAAAAAAAAAAAAGGAAATAATTTCACTCTCCATTCTGAGTGGAACAAAATGTTTCAAATCTCCAAGAGAAATTCAATTTTTCAAGCTTTTCAAGCATTTGTACAATGAAGATGTAATCCAGGGTGCCTTATTCAGCAGAAGGGTGTGATTTCTCACAGTAAAAAGCTAAGATGCTCAGTGTTCCTGTAACACTGTTTATATACTTCAGATGATTTAACCCATGAGAGAGTGAGATATTGCTTCAGCTGTTTGCTAGAGCGCTATTTCAAAATGACTGAAATCATCAGTTGCAAGAATACAGCCTTTTAAAGACGAGGAAAGGGTGATTCATATTTCAAGGAATTTTTGAAGAATGCTAATTTTTAACTGTATATATTCTAAGAGGTTTTTTGGAAATACTTTAGAAGCAGGATTAGTGATGAGTTAGTGTAATATCTTTCAAATTCTTGTGAAGTGGCTGGAAAACAACCATGAGAGGTTTAGGGAATTGTCTTCTAAAGGCACGCTGACTTAGTTGATCTTTCTTTGGCTATTCAGGGTCAGTGTCACTGAAAGAAAAATTAACAATAAAATGAATTCAATTCATTTCATCATTAAGTGTGAGATTGACAGATGATTTTTCAGATGCTATGGTAGACTTCTAGACTATAAAGTGTGAAATATAAATACTTTGGTTCATAAACTAATCACGGTTTTTTTGGTGATTCTATCTCAGAAATTTTCCTCATGGCTACATCTCTTACATAGCATGCATTCATAATCCACAGTGTTTTAAATAAAAATGCTGAAGTTATCAGTTAAAATTCAAATATGATTTTGTATATCTTTAAATTGACATTCAAATCAGTTTTGAATACAATTTTAGGGTACTAAGCAACCTACTTTTATTATGTACTTGTTTTGGATGTTTCATGCTGAATTTGCTGCTTTTCTTGGACTTACAAGCAAAATTTTTATTGGCTCAAGCACAGAACAGCTGTCTGTTCCACAAAAATATAAAGCCATAAAAATTATTCTGCTTGTCCTAAACATACAAAATAAACCCATCTACTACAGGAAACAACCTAGGGTTTTTGCTTGCCTTGCAAATTTTAGAAAATCTACTTTGTAGAGTAAAAAGAAGATTTTTATGAAAGTTTTATTGGTGTTGACTCTATCTGCTACTTTCATCTGGCAGCATCTTTGCTAAGAGCTACAGTCACTTAGTTAAAGCAAATGCATCTATCAGTTCTACTCACCAGGCTAGTTCTACTCACTAAGAAGCCACAGAAATCTAGGGAAAGTAAAGTGTCTGTGATAAGTATCACTTAACTTGTTGCAGTGGATCACAGTGCTGTTTATTTATACCCCTTAGTCACTGAAAATAACTATTTTTCAGAATATTTCTTGAATCCCTTTGTACCACAATGCAGAAGCATCAAATTACACTTCTCTGTGAGTCAGATATCTGTCACCACAGTCCAGTTTGAGGTGTACTATAACAAGAAATCTACATTCTTGGTCACTTTTCCCCTCTCTGTCAGTGTTTTCCCAATATGCTTTATTTTCAGTATTATCAAGTGATGACCATTTTCTCCATAGTTAAGGTGATAATAAAATTCCTGTAATTAGGCTAATCTTATTCCTTTTCTCCCTTCTATGAACAACTAGCTAGGATTTTGTTGACGTTTCACCAACCTTAAGAAGATGCTTACTGAGGAGAACATGCCCAAACACTTGTTTATTCTGCCTTTTGCAGAAGTGCCACAGCTGATGATTGCTTGAGGCAATCTGGCACACCTTTAATGGGGAAGCACAGGAAGCATTTTTGTGTGGGAGATTCTCTTCCAGATCACTTTGGGTGTAAGGCAAGTGTGATCTCTGTTTCGTGGCTAGTTGCCGTGTTACTTGCTGGATAGCGTACACACCAGGCAAACTGTTGAAGAGTTGATATGTTTCTTAAACATGTCAACTCTTCAAGAGTTGTAAAATGTATAATATAGCATCATTAGGGACCTCTTACTGATATATAAGAAGCAAAGCTGTGCTTGCGCCCAAGGCTGAGAACCCAGTATTGCACAGCCTTGCATGTTTTCTTGATGTCTCTATGAAAATAGGATGAAGAACAGTGGATGGGGGCTCTTGTTATGTATGAGGAAAAGTTCCTTTAAAATTAGACATCCTGATGTCATAGGCTTGCACTGTGTGTATATAATGTCCTTAAGACATTGGCTTAGACAGGAGCTCAGAACTTGAGCTGGTGTGACTTAGGCTTCATTTCTGCCTTTGTTCAGAAGCCAGAAATTATCTCCTTAAACTGCCAGAGACTGTCTTTCTATGTACTGTCAAAATACAGTTTAAAATCCAGCTTAGCAAATCAGCTGATAATTGCCACAGAATTGAAGATATCTTTTTGAGTTAACACATAAACATCCTTCAAAGTGGCCATTCAGTTTCTGCCGTCCACACAAAATGCGTTGCTGTTAACAAGCACTTTTTATTCTTTCTACCAAAATCAAGAGTCAAAGACTAGTTAAACAATCAGTTTGATGCAACTCCTTTGTAGAGCTCCATTTATCACTGGTAAGCATAAAGGTGACTGTTCAGTGGATTTGCTGTTCACAAACAGCCCCATATTTCTGCAAGGAGAGGAATAGTTTAAAAATCTCAAATGCAAGTTTGTTATCAGTTTTCTCTTAAGTGCTGTAGCATGTGAAATATCAGCAGAAACTCTTAAGACCACCCATTCTTCCTTATTTTCTCTATCCTAGTATTACCTATATCTCCTGTTTTCCAGCTGCACAGAGTTTACTCTGGAGGAGCCAGAAATGGCCTGGGGAGCAAGTGAAATTTGTTTGCTTTTCTGAATCAAGTGCTAATGTCAGAAATGTCTGAGAGATCCTGTAGGAGACAGAATCTCTAGTGAAGTTTTAATCCATGATTTCAGTGGCAGGTATCCTGTTCCTGCCAACAGGAACACACCTATTGAAACAGTATGACAACTTTTGTACCTTGTGTCCCCCAAACTTACCCCCCTCCCCATTTTCCCATTGGCTTGGTACTCTAAGTTCACCATCTTAAGTTTTACATTTGTTAATTATGTTCTGACACTTGTAATTCATAGCCTATCTTGTTGCTAGCTGGTGACCATCCTGCTGTTTCCAAGATGTCTCAGTACTCTTCTTATCATATTGACATGGTGGTTCTCTCCAAGGCCTCTTGACCTCTTCTGTTAAACAAAGAGCAGTGGAGGGGGGTGTTTGTCTTGAATTTTGGTAGGTAATGTTTTGCCAATACTACTTCTCAAAGTAAGTCTGAACTGTAAGACTTTCTCAGAAAGAGAAAGCAATATTTGTTTTAAATATGGACTTTTTAAATTCTGAAACTATGTGCATAATCCATGGCTGTTGATATAAGAACTGCCTAGTTTTAGTTTTTTTTAAAAAATCCTAATTATCCTTTGATTAGTCTGTATATTCCCCAGAGTTATAAGCAGTGTTTTCAGAAGCTGCTGGTGCATGTTTTAACTGTCCCACCTCTCCACAATCTTTCAAAGAGCTTGTGTTATGTGAAGAGGAAAAACTAAGCAGATGAAAGAAAATAAATTGTAGTAATGAGACACTAAAGAAGGACATGATAAATCAGATTTTTGGTAAGTATTTCTATACTTTCTGAAGGAGAGCCAAGTAATTTTTGGACATTTCTTGCAAGAATCTGAATTCAAAATATTCCTATACCACAAACACTATGTCCAATAGATCTCTTCATTCTGAGCAAGAGCGAATGCAATAGTCAGAAGCACTGGCTATGTATTTAAGCAGGAAAAATCTTTCTTCTCTGTGAACTTTCATTATTTGAGATGACAAAGTAATTTCCTTGTGTATTGTTCAAAGTGAGTAATCAAATAGAACATCGTCTGGTTTGATGATTTGGACATGTTCATAACATCCTTCTTATGACCTTGCTTTCTGTCATTTGAAAAAAGTCCTTTAATTAGCTTCCAGAACACTTGTAGCAGCTTGGTTTATGCTAATTTGTGTTTGTTCATTTTTTTAATAAAATCCTTATTAATTCTAATCTGTTTGAAATTTACTGGGTAAATTATAAGGGTACATATAATCTCCTACAAATGGCATGTTGTTTGTCTCTGCTTCCTAAAATAGTATCATACTTTCCATAGGTTGTATCAATGACACAGGTGTGCCC